GCTGGCTGGGGCGCCCTAGGGTCCGGCGTTACTCCCAGCTCCGCCGCGGGGTCTGTCGGGCACCAGGTCGGAGGCGGGGCGAACTCGTTCCTAGTTCCGGTGCCCGGTCGCCCCAGGAGCTCCACGTCCGGGACGGCGGCCACGCTTCCCGCCGAAACCGCCCCGACGCGCCCCTGGCGGCTGGCGGCGCCTCCGCCCGCACTAACGCGCTCCCGCCGGCAGTTTCAGTTTCAGGTGAACGACGACCGGGAGATGCGCCTGCAGTTCGCCCGGAGCCCCCTGTGTTTCTGAGGCGGCGGCGTCGGGTCCTGTGGCCTCAGCCGCGCTCGCTGGATGAAAATCGACCTCGGCCCTGCTCCCCTCAGCGGTAAGTTTGACAGGAAGAAGGCCAACCGTGTGGCCCCGAGGGGCGCCGCCCGCGGCCTGAGACTTAGAAATAGGAGTTTCCGAGTCGTTAGGGCGCCCGGACGGCCTGGCTGTGCGTGCCGCCAGCTGCCGGTTGAAATGAATTTACAAATGAGGGCGAAATGCCCTTTGGGCCTCCCCAGAACACGCTGGGAAGGAGGGCTGAGTCCCTGTCCCCGAACCTTCCAGAAGGTGGGAGGCGCGGTTGGCGCCTTGTTTACTGCGCAGATAAACCTAAATCGCCCGGCCCGCCCGCCGCGAGGGCGCGCCCGGTTTATCTCGATTGGATCCGCCTGGAGGTGAGCGAGTCTCCGGAACCAGGAGAGCGATGAGCACATGCGGAGCCTCGCGGGAGGCCGGGCGGTGTAGGTGTGCGGATCCCGGCCCAGATTAGCGTCCTAGGCTAACAGTTATATTATTTATACAAAGGCCCTCCCCCCCCCCCCCCATGTGCTTCCTGAATAATCGCAGGAGGCTAGTGAGACTAGGCAAATGGGTAACATTTAAGATCACGTCCAGAGAAGGTGACGTGGGGTTCCAGTTCTGTCTGTAGCTTAGTTTTCAGATCCGTTTCCTGCACTTCATTCCCGAGTCAGGCCTTTGGGGGCGGCCTTATCCCGTGGCTGTGGGCGGGGGCAGTGTTTTTCCTGTTAAAAGCGTTTTTCATTCAACGTATCCTCCCCTTATTCCTTCTCAGTTAATCAAAAGGTTAATGTCAGGTCACACGAAGTGAAGTTATCAGGTAAAACTGGGAAAGAGTGTTGAGTGTGTCTGCTGCCCCCCGGGATGTTAGTGAATTACAGCCCCAGCGACTTGCTCTGGGGCCCATCCCTGAGAAGACACGCTGCCGCCCCCATCCCAACCCACCACGAGTACCGCTCCACCCGCCTCAATATTTAAATTTTCTTCAGGTAGTTTTTTGTATGGAAACCAGGGAATTGAGTTGTCGCCTCCAGGCAAGTGGGAGTTTCCTTGCTGTTAATCCTTTGCATTACCCTATGAAAAGGGAAGCCTTGAAGTGCTTGAGGGCAGCCCCCAGCCCCGCTTTCTCAGGAAGGCGCCAGGACCACTAACTAACCTGGTTGCTCTGGGGAGTTCTCGGCACTGAGGCAAGGTGGCCATGTTGCTCTTTTTTAGGACAATTCGTGCCTCCCAGGAGTGTCTCCGGCTGTTGGCATCCCTCCTCGTTCTTTAAGGTGAGCTAATTTAAGGAATGTAATTTGTGTTATATCCACGCATAAAATTTTCTTAGGAATGTGAAATTGAAGAACTTCTTAGTACTGTCTCAGCAAACAATATAAATGTGTAGAGGATTATGAAAGCAAAAGTGGAAATCGTTTAGTTTTATGTGGTGTTTAATTGCATAATTGATTCTTATGAAATGCCTGTTCTTTCATGTTTCCTGCATGTCTTTCTCAGCCTAACTGGACTGCCATTTTCTAGAGCAGGGGTGGGGAACCTCCCGCCCACAGCCTTTCTAAGGCCCGAGAAATCATTGGGCTGGCCCTGCCAAAAGCATTAGGGATGAGTTCATTAAATGTTTGACCAAATAGAACAGGCTAATTTTTAAGTTGGTAATTTCGTATGCCTTCAAAATAATATAAATATCCACATGGCAGGAAAAAAAGGTTCCCCACCCCTGTTCTAGAGGAAGATATTGACCCTCCCCCTTGTGGCCATAAATTAATTACTTGCTGGTCTTCAGCCTTCAGTACCTGGTGGGTGGGGCAGCTGTGACCAACAGAACTGACATAGGCTCCCAATGCAGTTTTGAAGACACGTTCTATGCTGTGGGAGCATAGAATCATAAGATTTAGTTTGTAGCAAGGGCAAGATCTTTTGGAACCGCAGCATATTTGCGCTGAGGCTTTAAGGATTAGTAGGGTTTAGCTAGACAGAGTTTGGGTGGAATATATTTAGAGAGAATTACCATGTGTGTCAAATCCAAGGGAGCCTGGCACATTTCAGGCACAGGAATAAAGATTTTAAAATTATGGGGTGATACCAGCTAGTAGATAGTGTGTGGAGGGCCAAAGTTGCAAGACCTTAGAACCTCTTAGCCTTGTGGTTTGTGTTCCAATGTTAGTGGAAAGCCACTGAGACTTTGAATGGGAGAGGGACATAAAGTCACCTTAACGTGGAACACTTCAGCAGCAGATTGAGTCATTATGCTTAGAGAAGTTTAAGAAACAGATTCTGGTATGGGATATTGATATAGGAATTAGAAATATGAGGGTTATACAAAAAGAATGACAATTGGATCATTGAGATCACGAAAGAATTATTTAGCTCATTCTTTGCCATGCAATCTGCTCAGACTGAAGATAGAATTGTAAGAAGCCTTTATAGTTATAGGCAGGAGTTACTGATAGAGCTTAGGGCAGTGGTTCTCAGCCTTGGCTGCACATTAGAATCACCTGGGTGAGGCCACGTTAGTAACAAAGAAACAGAATTTCTGGAGGATGAGGCCCAGAAATCAGGATTTTAAAAAGATTCCCAGGTGATTCTAATGTGCAGCCAAGGTTGAGAACCACTGGCTTAAGGGCATGGTTAAGGTGGAGAATGGGACCATCTGAGAGTAATGATGGGTTCATTGAATTTGAGGCCTCTGCCTCAAATTAATTATACTGAATTTAAATTATGAAAATTAATGATGGATCAAAATGTAACTTGTCAATAATTTGTTCTCTCTGATACTAGTGCAGTTATTACCAGTTTGCTTTTTCTTAGCTCAAATTACCTCAGTGTGCTTTTTATTTTTTTAATTGTGGGTTTTAAAGAAAAACTAGGTGTGTGTGTATTGATTTCTGAGGAGAGAGAAACATCAGTGGTGAGAGGGATTCATTGATTGGCTGCCTGCCTCCACTGGAGATAGAGCTGGCAATCCAGATTCCAGATATACGGTTCATAGGTTGATGCTCAACCACTGAGAGATGTCAGCTGGGCGAGTTTAGGAGTTCTTTTTATGTATTTGTCCATATTTTGCACTAATAGTGTAAATACCTCAATTCCATGAGGGATGTTTTGTGATTTCATTTGAGCTAAGGCTCTATTTTTATCTTTTTCTAATATGCCCAAGTTTTTGTTGTTGTTGGTCCTTGCCTGAGGATATTTCCTTATTGATTTTTAGAGAGAATGTAAGGAAGGGGGGGGGGGCATCAATTGGTTTCCTTCACACATACCCTCACGGGGCCAGGGATTGAGCCTGCAGCCAAGGTACATGCCCTCAACCAGAATTGAACCAGAGACCCTTCAGTCCCAGGGCCAGTGCTCTATTCACTGAGCCAAACTGACTAGGGCACCACTGATTTTAATTGCTGCATTTATACTTCATGTGAAATGACACTTTTCATGAAACATTTAATTTCCATAACCTTATATGTACCCATTTTGAGCATTGATCACTAAAAATATTGTCTCTTATGCATATATTGGTTCGGTTCCTCCTCTTTAGAAAACTGTCCTTCTGGTTGGATTTGACCTTTACTGTTTCAGCTTGAACTCTGGCTGCCAGATGCCACAAAGTACTTTATGACACCTTATGAGAAGGGCACCCTCTTGTATGTGTTTATTTTTTTTCTCCTATCCTTCAGCAAAGTGAAGCGGACAATATATATTATGTGGTGTTGATACCCCCCCCCCCCCCAAAGTTTCTAATGTGGACACCTTTAAAAATATATTTTTATTGATTTCAGAGAGGAAGGGAGAAGGGGGAGATAGAAACATCAATGATGAGAATCATTGATTGGCTGCCTCCTGCACGCCCCCTGCTGGGGATCAAGCCTACAACCCCGGGACCCTTCAGGCCGCAAGCCAAAGCTCTATCCACTAAGCCAAACCAGCTAGGGCTAATGTTGATACTTTTTAAAAAATTTATTATAGAGGGGGAGAGAGGGTTGATTCTTGTATGAGCCCTGACTGGGGATGGAACCCCCAACCTTGGCATATTGGGACAATGTTCTAACTAAGCTAGCTACCTGGCCAGGGTGATGATTTTATTTGTATATGAACCTGAGAAGCTTATTTCATTTCTGTATTTGAGATGCATGTAACTAATGTTCAGTGATGGACTTGGCTGCTTATCTGGATGTGACTTCATCTTGGTCTCACACTTGACTCATTTGACAATCTAGAAAAAAATGATCCTTACCCACTGCAAGCCATTGCTGTCTTGTGTCCTGCAGCATTGTTTATAAAGAGAACGCCTATTCCCAGTGCCAAAGGAAATGTTAGCCTGTTGTTGTGGTTTTAACTAGTCTGTTCATCACTTGTTTTTACTTGATGTCAAAGAGTCTCATAGAGGGGTCTTAAACACCCGCACCCCCCAATTCTCTCTTTTTGTTTTATTTTAGAAAGGGAGAGAGAGAGAATCATGGGTCAGTTGCATCCTGCACATCCCTTACTGGGGATCAAGCCCGCCAATCGGGCACGGGCCCTTGAATCGAGCCCAGGACCCTTCAGTCCTCGGGCTGACGCTCTGTCCACTGAGCCAAGCTGGCCAGAGCCCAGTTTGTTCTTTCTCAGTCTGTTAGATAATGTGTACATTTTTTGAAAGACCTGAAATTGAATCTTAAATCCAAGTGTATTTGTTGTATTTCAACTTCTCTTATCTTTCTCTGTAAAAGGGAGAAAATTGTATTTATTGCATGTTCTTCTTATACATATGAAAGGGGAAATTATGTAGTTTTTGCTTTCTTTTCAGCTACAAAAAGCAGCAGCTGAGTTTATTTGAAGTCTGCCCTACCAAGTGTCCATGATGCTGGGCCCTGAGGGAGGTGAAGGCTTTGTGGTCAAGCTCCGTGGCCTGCCCTGGTCCTGCTCTATTGAGGATGTGCAGAATTTCCTCTCCGGCTGCATAATTCATGATGGGTCCGCAGGCATTCATTTCATCTACACTAGAGAAGGCAGGCAGAGTGGTGAGGCTTTCGTTGAACTTGAATCCGAAGATGACGTGAAAATGGCCCTTAAAAAGGACAGGGAAAGCATGGGACACCGGTACATTGAGGTGTTCAAGTCCCACAGAACCGAGATGGATTGGGTGTTGAAGCACAGTGGTCCAAACAGTGCTGACACTGCTAATGATGGCTTCGTGCGGCTTCGAGGACTCCCATTTGGATGCACCAAGGAGGAAATTGTTCAGTTCTTCTCAGGGTTGGAAATTGTGCCAAATGGGATCACATTGCCTGTGGACCCTGAGGGCAAGATTACAGGGGAAGCCTTTGTGCAGTTTGCCTCACAGGAGTTAGCTGAGAAGGCTCTAGGAAAGCACAAGGAGAGAATAGGGCACAGGTATATTGAAGTGTTCAAGAGCAGTCAGGAAGAAGTTAGGACATATTCAGACCCCCCTCTGAAATTTATGTCTGTACAGCGGCCAGGGCCCTATGACCGTCCTGGTACAGCCAGGAGATATATTGGCATTGTCAAGCAGGCAGGCTTGGATAGGATGAGGTCTGGTGCTTACAGTGCAGGCTATGGGGGCTATGAGGAGTACAGCGGTCTCAGCGATGGCTATGGCTTTACCGCTGACATGTTTGGAAGAGACCTCAGTTACTGTCTCTCGGGGGTGTATGACCACAGATATGGAGATGGCGAGTTCACTGTCCAGAGTACCACTGGACACTGTGTCCACATGAGAGGGCTGCCGTATAAAGCTACAGAGAATGACATTTACAACTTCTTCTCTCCTCTCAACCCTGTAAGAGTCCATATTGAGATTGGCCCTGATGGAAGAGTGACGGGCGAAGCTGATGTTGAGTTTGCCACTCATGAAGAAGCTGTGGCAGCTATGTCCAAAGACAGGGCCAACATGCAGCATAGATACATAGAACTTTTCTTGAATTCCACAACAGGGGCTAGCAATGGGGCATATAGCAGCCAGATGATGCAAGGCATGGGAGTATCAGCCCAGTCCACTTACAGTGGCCTTGAGAGCCCATCTGTGAGTGGCTGTTATGGAGCTGCTAGCTACAGTGGCCAGAACAGCATGACTGGATATGACTAATTTTATATTTTATAAAGCATTTGAGTTATAATTTTTCATAGGCAACCAACAAGCAGTGAAAAGCAGTTATTACTCTAGAAGAAGCTGTGGGGACCCATTTTGCACCATGAGTTTGTGAAATCTGGATTAAAAAGTTACCTCTTCAGTGTTTTCTCATGCAAACTTTCTTCTGGCATGTGATATTGAGTAAACTAAAACTGTTTCCAGTTTTTTGGTTTTTTTTTTTAATATTTTGGTAGCATATTTCAGGGGTGATGTTATCTGACTTCAAGTAGTTTTAAGTACATCAAATGTGGATCTTTTACACCATATCACCATGAACACATTGGGGAGATGAGATTTTTGGGAAACTCAAGGTGCTAGATCCCTAATTCAAAGAGGAACATTTCTCATGTTTGTTCATTCTAGTTTATTTTCATTTAAAATCTCTTAGGTTAAGTTTAAGCTTTTTAAAAGTTAGTTTTGAAAATTGAGACACATTACTAATACTGTAGGAATTGGTGAGGCCTTGACTTAAAGCTTTCTTTACTGTGATTTCCTTTTGGGTGTATTTTGCTAAGTGAAATTTGTTAAAAAAAATTTTTGTTAACTAAACTTTTTTCTTAAAATAAAGACTTTTTCACAATGACTGGCATAGACTATCTACTCACCAAAAAGTAGCAAAATGGCTGGGTGGTTAAAGAGAATTCATTTAAATGCTGTTTCAGTGTGAATTTAAGTTCACATCAAATCTGATTTTCCTTATCTTTTTACAAGGAAGCTGAATTAAAAGTCATCTTTTAAAAGTATTATGTACAAATGGGTGGTAGAAATGGTGACACTTCCAGAAAGTAGGAAAATAGAAGCACACAGTCTCTGCCTTCTGTGACTTTTGTGCTCTGTTCTTCAGCCCTGCTGGTCCCTCACGTTATGCTGGAATCGCATCCATTTCTCATAGCTAGAAATCCATAGTTTTGAATAAAACATTTTTTTTTTCAGACTTAATGGCTATTTCTCTAGGGTACACTCCTGGGTTAGCAATAGATGTCTCTCCAGAATTGTTAGAAAATCATCATCTGCCTAGCAGAGTGAAGAAGCATCCAAATTCCAGGCAGCTCTACACATGTCATATTGCCATCACACTTAACTTTGACATGCACTCAATAAAGCCAAGATTGTAAAATGTGAATGGAGTTTATTTAATTTTTATTTTCTCATTTGCCTTTAATGACCATATAATGTAGCCCACATGTCCCTAGTTTCACCAGTTTAAGGATCATCTGATATCTTCAGAGAATGTTTAAAGAGTGTTATGCCCCAAGAGTTTATTAAAAATAAGTCCATAGATAGACTGTAGTCTTGTTTCCAGTCTTTTGACTTAGTTGGGCGTCACAGGCCCACCTTGCCTTCTGTCCTTCCCACTAGTATTCCATAAGACTCCGGGCTGCAGCAGCACTCAGGAATACTGCAAATAGCACAACAGGTGGAACTAGGAATATCTGAAGAAGACTGGTAGCATGAGAATTCTAGGTAGCCACAGACCAGGCACCCTCTGCACAATCCAAGTTTCAGGCAACATTCACCATAGAGAAGCACATTGCTGGTTTGTGAGGAACCCCTGACAGCACCTGGAATCTATGGAAGCTTGAATGACAGATGGTGCAAAACGTCTTCGCTAAGTTGGTCCAGATACGGAAAGTCGGAATGTGCTAGATGACAGTAGATCCCAAGGTGATCCTGAGCTCTGGGCCAGCAGCAATGGCCTTGGCTGCTTACCAGGAGAAAGACTATCCAGAGGCATCACCTGAAGTAGGTGATTCATAAACTGATTTTTGCCCCCTCGAAGTCTCCAAGCTTGTTTCCAGAATAGGTTGCTAAACTATTGTAAGTGCACTGTGGTCCAGGAGCGGAGTCAATTTGTTGGAAGGGAGCCCCAATTAAAAGTATAACATCCACCCCCCAAAAAAATATTTGACCTTTAGTGCAAAATATTGTACTTGTTTTGTCAAAAATGAGAGTTTCAAATTTGCCTCAGCCTATGCAAAATCTAAAATAGTCTAAGAGGAAAGTTTGCAACTTAGGTTCTAGAAAAATGGTGTGGACTGAGCATGGAACAGAAGGAAGAGACGCCACTATAGCAGGAAGTGGATATTATACCAGAAAAGCTGCTAGGTATGTGTGGACTGGACTAGCACATGAGGGATCTTGATGCTGGACAGATGGTTAATATGGGGCATCTCAGAACTCAGGATCTAAATTGAGGATGGCCAGGGCGAGGATATATTTTTTATTGATTTCTGAGAGGGGGAGAGAAACATAAATGATGAGAATCATTGATCAGCTGCTCCCTGCACGCCCCACACTGGGGATCAAGCCCGAAACCTGGGCATGTGCCCTTGACTGGAATCGAACCTGGGATCTTTGGGTCTGCAGGCCTCCACTCTATCCATTGACCCAAACCGGCTAAGGTGAGGATATTTTTTTTTTATTTTTAGAGGGGGGGGGGGGGAGGTAAGAAGCCAATACGCACCATTACTGTGGATTGAACCAGAAACCAGGTATGTGCCCTATGGGAATTGAACCCATAACCTTTTGGTTTATGGCAGGGGTCCTCAAACTTTTTAAACGGGGCCAGCTCACTGTCCCTCAGACCGTTGGAGGGCCGGAGTATAGTTTAAAAAAAAAACTATGAACAAATTCCTATGCACACTGCACATATCTTATTTTGAAGTAAAAAAACAAAACAGGAACAAATACAATATTTGTATTTGCACGTGGCCCGCGGGCCGTAGTTTGAGGACCTCTGGTTTATGGGATAAGGCTCCAAGCAACTGACCCACCCAGCCAGGGCTGGAGAAATCTTTACACTTGAAAGTATTGCTCCTCCTCAATTATTAGGTGACCAGAGGTTGCAGGGGTTCCACAAGCTGCCCTGCCATCTGCTACAAAGGACAGGGCGAGCCCCATCCTGGAGGTATCTGTTCATAAATGGTTTTGTGTGGTGTCTTTGACAAGTCTCAATAAGCAGTCAGCTCGGACCCTGTGTGTTACGAATCGGCGCATGTGTCTAATGCAGCAGAGAGCTATTCACTGCTCACAAAGCAGCTCCTGGCGCTGCTGAGCCCACTCTGTACTAAGCCCCACTCATGCTCTGGGGGTGGGCAGGAGCATCAAGCTGTAAGGCTCTCATGGCATCTCTGTTGGTTTCAGTTTTTATATAAAATTCATGCACATTTAATCAGACTTATTTCTGAATATTTTATTTTTTAAGGGTGTATTTGTTTGATATTGTGGCCCTGCTAAATTCACTTATCTGTGCTAATTTAAATGTGGATTCTTTGGATTTTCTACATACAAAACTATGCCATTTTAAAAATAGTGACAGTTTTATTGTTCCTAATCCTTGTGTACTTTGTTCTTTTCTTGCCTTGTTGCCTGCTCTTAGATAAGTTTATTTTTTATCATTAGAAAAGATGATGCTGAAAAAAGAAAATGTGATGCTGAACAAAGTTGGGGTCAGAGTATCTTACTCCCACTTTCAGAGAGAAAGCTTTCAGTATTTCTCCATTAAAATTATTGATTATTGGTTGCATACCCTTTATTACATTAGTTGAATTTCCATTTCTGGCTTAGTATAAGGTTGTTTTTTTAAAATATGTTTTTATTGATTTGAGAGAGAAAGGGTGAGGGAGAGAGAGAGAGAAACATCAATGATGAGAGAGAGTCATCGATTGGCCTCCTCCTGCACACCCCCTACTGGGGCTAGAGCCCAAAATCCAGGCATGTGCCCTGAGCAGGAATTGAACCATGACTTCCTGGTTCATAGACTGATACCCAACCACTGAGCCACACCAGCTGGGCTAAGCTGTTTTTTTTTTTAATCATTAATAAATTTTGAATTTTATTTAATGCATTTTTTCTAATATCTTGATAATCCTTTTTTCTTTCTGTCTTTTTTTAATCCCCACCTGAGGATATTTTTCCATTGATTTTTGGAGAGAGTGGAAGAGAGAGGGAAAGACAGAAACATCGATGTGAGAGAAACACATTGATTGATTGCCTCCTTCAACCAAGGTACGTGCCCTTGACCAAAATCAAACCCGGGACCCTTCGGTCCACAGGTCGACACTCTATCCACTGAGCCAAACTGGCTAGGGCTTGATATTTCTTATTATCCATCTCCCAATTCACTCATTCTCTTCAGCTGAGTCTAATTTGTTGTTAATCATCAATTATGTTCTTAACTTCAGTTAACAACGCTTAGTTCTTGAAAAATAAAAGAATTTTTAGTTCTAAAATTTTTATTTAAAAAAATTTTTTTTACTTAATGTAAAAAATTATTTTTCTCACAGTTCTGGTGGTGAGATGTCAAAATTAAGGTGTTGGTAAGGCCTTGAACTCTCCAAGGAAGAACTCTTCCTTACCTATTTTTAACTTCGGTAGTTCCTGGCAACCTTGGTGTTGCATCAGTCCGTTCTCTACCTCTGTTGCCACATGACCTTCTCCCTGGGTGCAGATTTTTCTCTTCTTATAAGGACATCACCAGTCATTGACTACGGCCCACCCTAGTCCAGTATCACCTCATCTAAAAATACTATATCTGGGAAGACCCAATTTCCAATAAGGTCACAGTCTCCGGTACTGGGAGTTTAGGACTTGAACATACCTTTCTGGAGGACACAATTTAACTCACAACACATAGGTTCAATTTTTTTTTCTGATAATCTCCAAACATCATCTCATTCCTTGAACATATCAATCAGTTCAAATCTTGGCCTAATCTTTCCAATATCTGCATCTTTGTATTTATGTTATCTGTCTGGTACTAGTTTGTCTTTTATGCCTGGATATATATATATTTTTTAATATGTTTTTATTGATTTCGGAGAGGACGGGAGAGGGAGATAGAAACATCGATGAGAGAGAATTATTGATTGGCTGCCTCTTAACACACCCCCCACTGGAGATCGAACCCGAAACCTGGGCATATGCCCTTACCCAGAATCATACCGGAGACATCAATACCCAGGCCAAGGCTCTGTCCACTGAGCCAAACCAGTTAGGGCTATGCCTGGATATTTTTGATAAGAGCACCAGGTATTGTGAATATAAAGTCTAGATACAGAGTAACTATAAGATCCATGAGCTATAACATGTCAGATTGGTGGAAAGACTACAATCAGATTTTTTTTATTCCCTTGAGAACATGAGAAGCTCAAAATGGCCAATATGTATTCAGTGGAAATCATAAAACTGGCAATCAGAACAACCAAATCTGTGAGCCAAAATCCAGGAAATTCTGCAGGCGCCAATTTGAATTACTCGGAGAACATTAAATGAATCAGTGAAATATAAATATTGCATGAATTAAGGCAATATACAAAGAGTAGAAGCAGGAAAGATGAGAAGGACAAGTGCTGGTGGTGCAGTTGTAGAGTGGCCCAGGAGGCCTCTGAAAGGTCCTACAGGAAGGGAATTGGGGATGCAGGGATGCTGGGGAATAGGGACAAGGCCCAGCAGAGGGAGGGGAGTGCAGTGCCCTAGGCTGAGGCTGCAGCCTGTGGTGTGTCTAGGAGGCGGGCTGAGTGTGGGACAGCACAGGCGAAGTTGGAGCACTGATGTCAGACATGGGGCTGGGGTCAGACCCGAGGGTCAATAGGCCATGTTAAGGGGATTTTTCTGAAAGATAAGTAGGGGATCTTTGGTGCATTTTGAACAAGAGTTGATCTGACCTTGCTTTAAGAATATTCCTCTGATGGCGGCATTGAGATTGAGTAATAAATCTCTCTCCAGAGCCAGGCATAGGACCTAACCAGTAATCAACCCAGATGGTTCCGGTCACATGCTCCTGTGTTAGCTGTGAGCCTTTCTTACCCTGGGTTTTATAGTATTTGACACAAAAATTTTGGGTAAGATGCTGGTACTTTCTAGGAAACAAATATTACAGTGTTTTCAAGTCATTAATCTTAGAATAAACCGTGTAACTTCTTAAATTAATAGGCTCTCATTTTAAAAGCACTCTCTCGCTCTACTACTCAGCAATACAAAGTAATGAACTACTGATTACTGTAGGAACCTGGCAGGATCTCCAGAATTATAGAAATATATATGATAGAATTCTAGAATATATCAAACTTCTAACCTTGATTTATTTTTGGGTGCTGGGTTAGAAATTGGTTTATCTTCTAAGTGAGATATCTCTGTAATGTTCAAGTTTTCTATAATAGGCATGAAAAATGTTTGCAATTAGAACAAATAAGATTGCTTAAAGGGGTGGAGGGATATAGAGTCCCCAGACAGGCACAGTCACTGGGTTCTTTCAGATGATGATAAATACCAGAAAGGCAGTGGAGCCTAGTCCTTCAGAAATGGCTCAAAAGCAAGAAAGCCTGAGTCTCCTCTTATGCACAGAGGAGGTAATGCAAGTCTGTGTCTCATGTTGCTGGGGAAATTGCGTTAACGTGAACTATTTATGTGTCCATCACATCCTAAGGATTCAATAAGTGAAAATTACCCTTTGTTTTCTCTGGTCCTTTCTTGGGCTGCACCTCATCTGGGAGAAAATGACAAGAGGAGGAAATTTCGACTAAAGCCACCCAATCCCCTAGGAGAGAAAGGGCCCGTGAATGGGTCTCTGGAGCACACAGGAAGCCGGGGCAGAGACTCCCCCATCCTATGGCAACCTTTCCCACGCCCTCCTCCAGAGCGGGGAAGAGCTCGTTTCCCTTGGGAATTAGCAGCCCACCTGCAGGGATCCACGGGCAGCCTGGGGGGGATAACACTGATCCATCCTGCATCGCCCTCCCTCCGTCCACAGTCCTGACTCCTCCCATTGAGGATTAGCCCAAGGCTCCCAGACACCCTCCCTGCGCCCCTTGCCCAGCCCCGGACAGGTAGAATCAGCCTAGACCACCAGGCGCTAGCCTGTTATTGGACAAGGCTCACAGACGCTGAGCACCCAGCCTCTCCCACACACGCACACTGGGGTTGCAGGTCGCGGGGCCCTTACCCAATATGGGTGCTTATAGGACTTGGGTCTGTGGAATTTGTTCAGGCAAAACTTAAATGGAGCCGTGCTTGGCAGGCTGCAAGCAGAGCAAACTGTGTGTTCCCGTGTGCGTGCGTGTGTGTGTGTGTGTGTGTGTGTGTGTGTGTGTGTGTGTGTGTCGAGGAATGTGGAATGCTCTTCCCTGTGCACTCGGCATCGTGAGTCAAAATGACTTAGGTTCCCAGGATACGCTGGGGGTTTCCTTGTTGCTGAAAGGGTTTCAAACAGAGTTTGTCACAGCGTGAGACGATGGGGACCCAACTTTCTCTGAAGAAGCAGTTGTCAGGCACTCAGAGGGGCGCCTGCCAAGATCGTTTGCATGCTGCGGCCCCACAAAGGGTCACAGACTTTGCGTTCTTAGGCAGAGCTCATGTTTACTTTCTCACATGCAATCCACTCACACCAGTATCCTCCGTGTCCCAGGAGGGAAGGGACATGCACCCACTCCCTGGGGAAGGCTCTGTGGTGGCTCGCCCGCCTGCGCCCTCCTCTGGGGATCGCATTTTTACGCTCTGCTCCTCTAGCACCTGAGTTCCCCTCCCCTGCAGCTCCAGGTCCCTCCTGAGTCCCAGCTCAGCAGAGGGCAGTGGTACTCCTTGCAGTGGCCACATTGCCTCCGTTCGAGTCCGAGAGCTGAAAAAGCATGAAGGCCAGTGTCCCCGCAGGTCGCTCACATACCAGTACACTGTGCCCTCTACTAGGAAAGATGTTTGCGTGGCTGGCTCTTCTACTGTTCACAGTTGAGTCACCTCAGATGTCACCTCTGGCCTGACCACATCACCCGCTGATGCTCATGCACCCACCCACTCTTCTTTTCCGGGTGTGCATCCCATCCCGCTCAGAGCTGGAGCTTGGAGAATCTGTCTGCGGATAAACGGGCTTGGTGCAGCCGCCCAGTCCGGTGGCTCCGCTCACACGGCATCACTCAGCTTGGACAGTGGCTGCACTTTCAGCCAGGCGTCCTGCGTCCCAGTCAGGGTCTTGGAGCTCCTGCTGCAGCTCTGGACTAACCTTAGAAACCACCCCTTACAGGTTCTGCTTGAAGGGCTCTAAGCAGGTCTAAGAACACCATTTCCAGACCTCAGGGCCTGGGGATGTGAGTAGGAGGCAGGGTCCCTGCCCACTGACCTCCTGACCCCAGCCCACAAGTCAGGGACCCAAAGTCTATCCATATCGTTCTTTCCAGAGCTGGCACCACTGAGAAATGGGGGATTTGGAGCAAGACACCATCAGAGAGCTGGCTTGAAGCAACATCAAAAGGGGCCCCATCAATCCAGACCTAGCCTGGGAGCCACTGCCAGGCAGGGCCAGGGCAGACCTCTACTGCCCCAGGGTCTCCACTGAACGGACCTTACACCCTTGGCTGTGGAGGTTGGCAAGAGCAGCGAGGCTGCAGCTGCTGAGGTGGGAGAGGGCCCCAGTCCATGCAAGCAGGGACCTTTCAAGTGAGGGGTTCCAGGGGTGGACTTCTGAATATTGTTAGATAGGACAAGGTTCTAGAGGTCTGGGTGCTTCTTACTAAACTCTATTCCCGCTAAATGCTAAATACTTTGCAGAAGTAGCTGTAAACAGGAAGCGCTTGACAGGAACTCAACTGGTTAAGTGTAGCCAACTGCAAAGAAATCAACATGTAATTGATCAAATAGTGTATATAAGCAGTGGCTAAGGCTCCCTTCAGAGGCAGAGTTTTGTATGTGAGTCCCTGGTGTCCTTTACTTGCTGCAAGTAACTAAAGCTACCTCAGGGTGGCCACATGCCATTCTTGAGTAGAGTACCTCGAGTACTGAACCCTCCTGTGCTTGGTAACAGTAAGGGAGCTAGATTTCTACGGATGGTTTTTGGTCCTAAATGCACTATGTGGGCTTCGTGGGATGCAGCATATAGTGGGGTCTTGGGATATTACCTAAGTGAGGGGAAGGGTCCATGGGTTGGTGTGAACATTATAGAGGGTTTTACTAGAGTGGGGCAGTGAAGGAATGGCTGCATTTCCTGGGCTGTGTGATCAACAAAGAGCGTTCCCTGAGTGGGGCGGGGTTTAGTGGAGGGAGAGCCACGGGATCATTCTAGATTACAGGATGTCATGGGTACCTGGCTCATTGGGACTCCTAGGGTCTCTAGGCAAGGTGTGGATATTGTAAGGCCTTTGGTATTGAGGTGTCTAAAATCGGGCATGGATGAGGCAGGGGGGCAGGAAATCAAGTATCAGGAGGTTCTCAAAATGGGAGACATGTTGGGGTAGGCCTTAGGCCAGACATGTAGTCCCAGGAAGCATGAGCAACCACCCTGCTGAGGGCCTGGCTTTTCCTGAGCAGAATGTCAGAGCTCCTGTCTGGCTTGCCCAGCCCACAGAAGGTCACGAGGCCAGGGGAGGAGTGAGACCAGTTTAATTTGGAAATAAGCTTTGAGTAGCCTCCTGATTAGAAGCAGCCTAAGGCCCCCAAGTGGGGAGGGAGCAGCATGGGAGCTGGCCCTGGTGGTCCCACGAAGCTGGTCCTGGGCTCAGCAGGTACTGGCAGAGCCTGTGGAGAGAATGGGAGTCAGGTCCTCACAACATGGTCACTACACAGACACCCGCCTCAGCCCTGGGCAACCCCAAGGCTGGGCTGGCTCGGGACAGTCCCGCTGGACACATAGCATATCATTTCTTAACTCTCAAATGCTATGGTCACCCTGACTGATGCCCAGAAGCCCCTCGAAGAAGCCCGTCTCACCTGGAGTGATGAATGGAACAGCTTTCTCAGATAAGGGGCTACGGAAGGAACATCAGATTAGTATACTTGGACCTTCTGTCCTCCACCAAGACGCCTGGTGCCCCCTCCCAAGAGGGTCCCCAACTGCCCCCTTGCTATTCTTCCACGGTCATTTAAACAATAGCAGAGCTCAGAGCTTTCTGATGTGGGGCCCCTTCAGCGTGGATTATCTGTGAATAATCCCACTGCAAGCCCAGGGAGCAGCCACCAAGCTGTCCTCTTTCTCCAAGTTATAGGACTTTTCCCCACAATAGTCTGCTCAGCTTGAGGTGCACACAATAGGGGCCTTATGCTCACCTGTGCTTGCGATTGTGCTTGCATTTGCACTTGCCACCTGTGAGAGGAAGAGACATCAATGCAAAGGGCCTGGGGACCCTGGGCCACCCCTCTTCTCACATGCCCTCCCTCCGCCCCATCCCGCCAGCCCCACAGCTCACTCAGGGCGAACAAGATTCCAGCGATGCACAGGAGCGCAGCGCAGATCATCCCGCCCAGCTGCAGGGCCTCCCAGTCTAGGAGAGGAGAGAGAGCTGGGGCCAGCCTGCTCCACCCCAGCACTCGGGCAAGGTATTTGTGAGCACAGAAAAAAAAGGGGGGGGGGTGTTTAAGGGATGATCAAGGAAGGCTTTTCTGAATGGTGGCATTTGATCTGAGTGAGGAGGGAGCTCAAGGGCATTTGGGGGCATTGGAGGACAGTGCAGACCCACTGCGGGGCTGGAGGGCAGCAGGGAACTGGGTGCTGAGAAAGGCAAGTGAGAGTGAGGGGAAGGAAGAAGGTTGGTGTGAGATACCTGGCCACCCAGCAGCCCATTGCCTGCAACTACTTCCCCAGAATCTTCTTCCTAAACATGATGGGTGCCTTCCTTCCATGCTGGAAGGAGTTTCTTTCAAAGGCCAGCCTGCATGTTGGCCTTTGTTCTTGTAACTGACCACACTGGCGCTTTAATCTCCAGCCCCAGCCCCTGCTGCCCCTCCTTCCTCACCCCCTCAAGCCCCGCTCTGTCTGCATTGGGCTCCACATCACCCCTCACCAACCTCTAGCGGAGGTCCAGGAGAGGCAAGGGAAGGGGTGGCGGGAGGGATATCAGCTCTTACCATAAGAGAAGGAACTGTCTTTATCTGTAGGAAAGAAAAAATAAGTAAGGACCAAAAGTTGGAGGCAGGATGTGGGATCTTAGAGGGAAAATGTGGGACAGCAAGAGCAGTTGGGGGCCTCACTCACCAATCAGGTCGTTGGCTTCCAAGGCAGGCAGGCCTGGGTGGGAGAAGCAGAGGATTTGGTGATCATTCATGACACTGGTCTCAACATGAATCAGCAGGCAGACCTCAGCCCAAAGGGCAAGGATAACAGCTCATTAGGAGGCACCCTGGGGCTGGTTCCCTCCCTCACACCTCCAGCCCCAGACAGTGCTGCTGAGGTTGTCCCCCATTCCTTAGCCTTTGGCCCCTCACTCACAGCCCTTGCTGCTATTTCTCAGGCTTCCTGCTATTTTTTCTTGCACTCCAATGGGATGGCGTGTTTGTATCTCTACTCTCTCCAGGGAAGCTTCCAACACAGACCCTAGCTGACCCTCTTCTTCCTAAAGAAATGGCGACGCTATTCTCTTCATGCCAAGAGATGGTTACAGGCTTCCTCCAGTTCAATGACCCAGAATAAATTGTGTAATTTCCACTTCTTCCCTGTACTATTATTTCCTGTACTATCTCTTCCCTTTAAATCAACAGTGTACATGAGAGCACATTTATTGGAGCCCTAGCTGATTTGGCTCAGTGCATAAGGCATTGGCCTGTGGACTGAAGGGTCCCGGCTTCGATTCCGGTCAAGGGCACATGCCCAGGTTTCGGGCTCGATCCCCAGTGTGGGGCGTGCAGGAGACAGCCCATCAATGATTCTCTCTCATCACTGCTGTTTCTATCTCTTTCTCCCTCTCTTTCTCTCTGAAATCAATAAAAATATATTAACAACAACAACAACACATTTGACATCAGGCCCCCCTTGAGAGATGCTGCCCTGGTCTTCACTGCCTTAGTGGGAATGTGAGTGGCAGAGGGTCACCTCTGGAGGACTCACCTGCCAGCACAAGGAGAAGGCCCCAGGTCACTCCCTCCATGTCACAGCTGCAGGGCAGGGCTGTAGGGGGAGGTCAGGCTGGAGTCAGGTGGGAAAGCAGGGCCCCAACCCCAAAGGTGCATTTGCTTGTTGGGCCATCTTGGGCAGGTTACTAACTCCTGTTTCCTCATTAGAGATAATAGTGTGTTGTGGAGTTATACGGATTGATTAATACTACTTAAGTGCTTAAAGCAGTGCCTTTGCATAGTGAGTGCCTATAAGGCTTTGTTAAAATCTATGTCAGGCCCTAGCCCGTTTGGCTCAATGGATAGAGCCTCGGCCTGCAGACCGAAGGGTCCCGGGTGCGATCCCAGTCAAGGGCACATACCTTAGTTGCAGGCTCCTCCCCAGCTTGGACATCAGGGAGGCAACCAATCGATGTGTTTCTCTCACAATGATATTTCTCTGTGTCTTTCCCTCTCTCTTCCACTCTCTCTAAAAACCAATGGAAAAATATCCTCGGGTGAGGATAAAAAAAAATAAAAAATATATGTCAGATGCCTGACCCAAGGTCAGCTGAACAGGGCTACTGTTCTAACTCAGGTCCCCCCCCCCTTTTTTTTTTAATTAAAAAAATGTTAAATTGCAGTTTACATTCAATAGTATTTTGTATTAGTTTCAGGTGTACCAATGCAGGCTATGATGCCAGCTCTCCTAACCGCACACAAAGGGCACACCCAGGTTTGAGCTGGGCAGAGGAGCCAGCGGCTTACCAGGGAAGTGGGAGGATTGTGAGGGGCAGACAGAGCCTCCCACCCCACCCCAGCCCGGCAGGGACCCTGCTCCAGGCTGCCCCAAATTCCACTCAGAGTACAAGCTGCTATTAGCAGGAAACTGCTTGGTGGGCGGGACATCCATATTGCCTTAGGGTGCCAGAACTGGTCCCTGGGTGGCCCTACCCTGGAGATAAGGCCCTTCCCAACTTTCTGCAGATTGTTAGCTGCTGGGAGGGATAGGGATGGTCAGTGTTGCATATTTAAGCCATTGTTACTATTTGCTGGGCTCAGCTGGAGGGAAGTCTAATCCACTCTCAGCCACTTGACAGGGAGTTACTTATCTCTCTGTGCTTCTTTGTCCTTAAAATGAGGGTATCTAGAATAGCAGCCTCACCTCATAAGGTTATGACTGAATTAAGTAAGTTAATTTGTCAAGTCTAAGAACAGTACTAGCACACAGTAAAACGTGTTACAATAATAAATACATAAATACCTAGGTACTACTGCCGTGAAGGGATGGCCTTTAGCGTGCTGCCTCTGAAGGCAGGGGTGTGTCCTCTGAGCAGTCTCTGAAGCCGGCCCTCCTTTAGACTAGCCTGCCTCTCTCCTCCTCTCCCGCCCTGGAATTCCTGGATCATGAGGGTTGCGACTCCATTTTACACATTCTTTAGCCAAAGGCTGGCTCCTGTTTCCTCCAGCCCCCAACCCGCCATCCATCTGACAGTGGTCACAGAATAGACACCTCCAGTTCTCAAACCCCCAAACACGACCCCTGTTACCGAGAACATCCAGGTACCTCCACCCCTTCCTCAGGCTGGTCCTCTGGGCCATCCCTCCGCCCCCACCCCTCCACCTAGGCGCCTGAAGTCCTAGCAGTCGCCTACTCACCTGAGAGCCAGTTCTCCTGAGCTCACCTGAGGGCAGGGTGCGCAGAACAGGTCTGAGGAGGCCGCTGGGGCTGTGTTCAGCTTAGTGGGTTCCAGCTCTTTAAACCCAGCAGCCTCGCCTAGGGCAACAATACCTTCCAACAGGAGGGAACTGGTCAGACTCTGTAAGATTCCTACAGCTCTCTCTCCCCGGGTTTGCTTTTAAGGAGATGGCTGGCCCTGCCACACCCAGTGCAGAGCAGAGCTCCTGGGGGCTCCAGGGCAGCTCAGACACTGAGGTGGTGGTGGGGTGAGGGATGAGCAGAACCTCTGACCCTTCCCTTGAGGAGAAGGAGACTTTTAAAATAAATACATATATATATATATAAAATAAAAACCTAATATGTAAATTGTCCCTTCGACCAGGAGTTCAACCAAGGGGCTGGGCCAGCCAGCCAACCGCCCGCTGCCCCTTACCCTGGCCGGCCCCACCCTGGCCAGCAGGGGCAGCAGGCAGCCAGGGGAAGGGAGGCCCCGGCCAGCAGCCATTAGAGACCCTACCAGTGCACGAATTTCATGCACTGGGCCTCTTGTAATATTATATTATATTATATTATATTATATTATATTATATTATATTATATTAATTATATTATATTATATTTTTATTGATTTCAGAGAAGGGAGAGGGAGAGAGAGAGATAAAAACATCAATGATAAGAGAGAGTCAATGATCGGCTGCCTCCTGCATGCCCCACACTGGGGATTGAGCCCACAATCTGGGCCTGTGCCCCAACTGGGAATCAACTGTGGCCTCCTGGTTCATAGCTCGATGCTCAACCACCAAGCTACATTGGCCAGGCATGGCTAGCATTTTTAAAAATATATATTTTATTGATTTTTTAAAGAGAGGAAGAGAGAGGGATAGAGAGTTAGAAACATCAATGAGAGAGAAACATTGATCAGCTGCCTCCCACACACCTACTGGGGATGTGCCTGCAACCAAAGTACATGCCCTTGACTGGAATCGAACCTAGGACCTTTCAGTCCGCAGGCCAACACTCTATCCACTGAGCCAAATTGGTCAGGGCATGGCTAGCATTTTAAAAAACATATATTTTTATTTATTTGAGAGAAAGAGAGGGGGAGGGAGAGATAGAGACATCAATGAACAGAGAATTCATTGATTGGCTGCCTCCTGCATGCCCCACACTGGGGATCGGGCCTGAAACCCGGGCATGTGCCCTGACTGGGAGTCAACTGTGACCTCCTGGTTCATAGGTCGATGCTCAACCACTGGGCCATGCCTGCTGGGCATGGCTAGCATTTTTAAGGACTGTTGCAACCACAATGCTCCTGGTGAAATAGGCCACCATGTTAACATTGGGACTGCCACTAGAGGTCCTGACCCCACACTAGATTCAAGGGGTCTTAGAAATTAAAGGCCATATGACTTACGGGGGACACCTCACTAGATACCAGGCTTTACTTCTAGACTCCCCAGAGGTGACTCTCAAAGTATGTCAAGCTCTTATTCCTCCTGCCTGAGGAGGAAAAGGAGAAAATTTTGCACTCTTGCGTAAGAACAGTAGAACAAGTTTATTCAAACAGGGCTGGTCTCAAATACCAGCTATTAGATAATCCAGATAAAGTATGGTTTACTAATGACAATAAGTTTAGAAAGAAAGACATTAAGAAAACTAGATATACTGAAGCTTGGCATTGCCTCCTAACGCCTTTGACCGAAGGCTGAGTTCATTGCCTTGACCAGAGTCCTACAGCTGAGAAAGGGACACAAGTCCATATTTACCGACTCCAGGTATGCCTTCCTCCCCCATATGGCAACATAAAAACAACGGGGACTCTTAACAGCAAAGAACTCCCCTATTCAGCACCTCCAGGAAATACTCACTCTCCTACAAACAGTAGTAAAACCTGCAGAGGTAGCTGTAATTCACTACAAAGGACATCAAAGGGAAAACACAAACATTACAGAAAACAACCTAGCTGATACTACAGCACAGAGGGCTACTTTACCACCAGCCCCACTTTAGGCTGGACTGTTCCCACAGAATTCTGTCTGCCGACAGAGGCCACAATACACAAAAAAGAAAAACAAAACAATCGTGACTAACAGAGCATGATTAATATTTCTAATAACTACAGCTAGTCCCCAATATTCTATTTTTGCCCCTAACAATTGTTTTATTCTGATTAAAGATAGCACATTCTAACCTGGCTCGGGAGTTGTACGCCCCCGGGACCTGGGAGTCAATGTTGGAATGCAGTCCACCATAGTTCAAGAATTGCCTATTATCATGGAAAGATTAACAATCTTGTTGCCAAAACAATGGAATCCCACTCCAGCTTGCATTGCTTATTTCCCCAAATCTGTAATACCCATCTTGCATACCCATTCCTATTCTTTTTGCCTACTTCCCCATGTAATCTTTGTCCTAACCAAGATAAGCAGCTGGCTTATGGTGGGGTGCAGAGCAGATTTTCATGAATGACCTGCTACTCTTCCAGACTGCTGTCTCTACTTAATTGGCTCAAGCAGTGACCAGCAGCACAGAGAGTTACTGTGATTGTCCGGTTTCACAATCAAAGTTAACAAAGCATGATTAATATTTCTTATAACTATGGCTAGTCCCCAGTATTCTATTTCTGCCCATAACAAGTTGACATGGAGTCAGGACTGGCCTTGAAGTTCCATTTGCTCAATGGTCCCATTGCTTTTCCTTGTACTGGGTGTTCATGGAGGGGGAGAGCTGGGGCTGATGCACCCCTCAGGATCATCCACCCTCTGACCAAGCCCCACTTTATCTAGGGAGACTGACAGCTGGAATTCAGAAACCACCCAGCCCAGCCTGGGTTTCTTCCCTACCTTCTGGGGGTTGGGCGGAGGAGGCCGCCAGCACCAGGATAAGGAGTGGGCCGCCTTCCTCTGTGGGCCCCCAGGCCTGATTCATGTGCTGCTGGCCAACTCTCCTCTTGCCTCATTCCACTGCATACCTTTAGGCCAGGGGTGGGCAACCTTTTTGTGAGTGCATGCCAAAACCAGCAAAATCTCTGACTCAAAATTCTTCTGCGTGCCAACCCTAATTTTTTGAGAACATGTTATGCCTACTTGATATCTCTTAAGGTGTACGTATGTGAAGAACCTTGAAGAAATAATAAAATTCATTCCAGCGACAAAAACACAGTATATGATGATGGAAAATACATTTATTTTTTAATGTATACATGTACACTGATAGTCCGACAGAAAACTTTATGACTCCGTTTGATATTATCAGTGGGACTTTTGCTGCTGCATCACTGATGACAGAGATTTTACATCAGGTTTATATTTCGTGACCTTCAGAGATATGCACGAGCTACTACTTTCATCCGTCAGGCTACTCCTATTACGAGACTTAACAAAATTCATCACTGAGAACAAAGATTCACAAGTGTATGTGGATGAAAACATGGAGAGTAACGCTGTTGCGAAGTTTTTTAAACAGAAAAAATTTTCTGGAATGGCATTCCAAGTCCATTAGTTCGTTTTCGACACTATTGAAATTGCTCTTTCCCTCTCTCGTCAATCCATGTCTATGGTCTTTAAGATAACTTCTAATGTAAAATTATTTATTTATCTAAGATGCACCTACACTGAATTTATCTGAAAAATAAAAAAGTCGATATTAAGGAAAAAATTGTAAATGGAAGATTTTAAGAGGGGGTTTTGCATGCCAGCAAAAGTTACTGGCGTGCCATGTTTGGCACGCGTGCCAGGGGTTGCCCACCCCTTCTTTAGGCTGTGCCATTGGCTTTGCAGGACCCCAGGCCTCTCTATTCTGCAACCCCCTTTCCCCAATTTCTCTCTGTTCACTGCTTTTCCCACTGCATGGTGACCCACCGAAGGCAGGGAAGTTGCCTCCCTTATTCCCAATGCCCCGCTATGACACCAATAAATAGACTTTGACTGGATTGTTATTGGAGGAGGTAATCCTTTGGCTGCTGGTTGACCCTCAAGCTGGACCATGACAAGCAAAGGTTCCTCACTTCGCCCCATATTCTTGAAATGTATGTTCTGCCTTCCAACCCCACATGGGGACTGTTCCAAGGACACAGCCTTGTGTGTTTTGTACTGAGCTCAGCCTATCAACAACCAGTCCTTGAGGTTCTTGTTATGATTGCAAGATGCCCTTCAGCTATAACCAGCAAGAAACTTTGAAAAAAAAAAAAGCTTTATTACTACAAGAACCTGGAAATTACACAGCACACCTGGGACCACTCAATGAGGTTGGTGAAACAGGAATTTTAGGAGTAAACTAGGACAGGTTTAGGAAATTTTAGAAATTAAGGGGACCATGGAGGAAGCACAGGGCTGCAGAGCAGCAGAAGGTATATTTCCATAGAATAGAGGAGCTGAAAAGCTGCAACAGGTACATTTCCATAGAACGAGGGAGCTGGGAACAGCAAAAGGTCTATATTTACAAAATAAAGAGAAGGAAGCCCTTCATCCAGAAGGAGAAGAAGAAAGACCAAAGGGAATAGGAAAACAATGAGGAAGGAGAGGGAGAATCTCACATGTCCCATGTGAGGTGTGACCTTTGAGCACAGGAGTTACTATAGTAACCACTCTAGGGGAATAGTGACCAATCAGAGGGGCTATCAAGGCACCAGGATCTGCAGCCTTTATAAGTCATAGGGAAAAGGAACTCAGTGGGACCCTTTCCTCCTCCCTACTTGGGGGTCCATTCTGTGGGACTCTTTCCCACTCCCCATGTGGGAGTCTGTACTTGTTCTTCAATAAATCTCCACCTTTACTATACCACTTTCTGTCCGTGGATTCATTCTTCGATTCCAGTGGACAAAGAATCTGGTTCCAGTCCAAAAATTTCCTTTCATTGGAAAGAGAGAGAAAGAGAGAGAGAAAGAGCCTGGGTTCTGCAGGTATTAGGGTTGAGGGTGGGAGCCTAGGGTTTCGTGGATTCAAAACATTAGGGCTGGAATTTAAAGTCCGAGAAGAGAAAGAAAAACAAATAGTCCTAATGACCAGTTATTGAAATCAAATTTCTTAGAGCAAAGAGTCTCAGTGGAGGGAGGCGACCTGGTTCTTTAGCTCTTTATCTATATGACTAGCCATGTGTTTCTTTGAGATAGCCTTCTTTGAAATGGATATTTCATACCTGGGCAATCAAAGCTTAAGTCAGAGACTTGCATTACAAAAATAAATACAATAACTGCCAGGGCTAACACTAGACCTAGAGAGAGAAAGGTGTTGTTGAGGACACTTTTTGATGGGACTGTACCACTGCGCCCAGTTACGGGCTCTATATAAACGTTTAAGATTCTGGCCGGCAGATGCAGATATTTACTCCCCTTGTGCTTGACCAAGACAATAAGTTCCCTTGCTTGTTAAACCTCCACCTATCTATCTGAAGTGGTCTGCCTCTTTCTTCGGTCTCTTCCTCTCCTCCATGTAGGCAGCCAGTTTTCCAATCAATGATTGTTGAGTCAGTGAGGACAAGAAGCCATCAGACGCTCCCAGTGCTGGGGGCAGGGGACAGACAAGGCCCCAATGACAGGGCAGGGGGAATTCAGGTGAGTAGGAAGGGAAGGGGGCATTTCTCGTGTGAATATGTTGCATTTCCTCATGAAAATTTTTCATGGAGCTCAGTTTTCAAGATTCAGCTTCTGCACAGAGTTTGACCAGAGGTTCTGAGGTCAGAAAGAGCTGGATTTGCAGCCCAGCTCTGCCACTCGCTTTCTGGGGGATCTCAAGAAACGTCATCATTCTGGGCTTCATTTAGTTCCCTTTCCCATAAAATGGAGTAATGGCAGGTTTTACCTGGGAGGTTTGGGAGGGAAGTGCTGCAGGGGCTCGGGGCCACCCCATCAGCCCTCAATGCGGACTTGCGGAGTGAATGCCTCTCAGGCCTGGTGTGCGGAAAGTTGTTCACCTCAAGATTCAGAAGAAACATTAATAGCCACATACTTTGGAGTCAAATGCAGGCTCTGTTAGTTACTTGCTATGTGCACTTGAGCAACTGACTGAACCTGTTTACTTATCTATAAAGTGCCTGCTTTGAATGTTTATGGTATGATGACATCTGATTAGGCTGCTCAGTTCGCAGGAGCTGTTAACTGGAGTTGGGAATCGCCCTGATGTACACACAGAGGGATCTGCAGCATGAGAAAAGGGGGATCATCATTAGAGAGGTCCCCATGGGAAAACGGCATTCCAGAGAAAAGAAAGGTCTTGCACAAGGTCATACTCTGGATGCTCAACCAGTTTCTAGTCTCCCCTGCTGAGTTCTTCTGCCCTGTCAGGCTACAGTGGGAAATAATCAGCAAGAAAGCAGGCATTTGTAGGAAGGGGACACTTTAAGTCCCAAGTGCCATCTTTGCTTTGGAAGGTCTCCATGAAATATGAAAAGGACTTCAGATCCACTGCTCCAGAGGGTCTAGTGCTTTTGCCCTACAGCTTCTGACCTCTTCTGACCAGCTACTGTCCCTATTACAACCAGGGATTATCACCTTCAACAAGTAGAAAGGAAAAGTCACCTGAGCTAGGTGATACTGACCCTGGTCAAGGTAGGGGACAGGTTGGGTCTGGGGCAGAATCAGGAAGAGGAAGAGGATCCTAGTTACCTGTGAGTAATGTCTGCAAGCACCATGGTAAGTCATCACCTCATCTCTTCTTGCCCAAGTTGGCTGTAGGTGTAGGTGTACCATGGCCGAGTCCTGCATCTGACCCCTCCGAGAGGCCCCATAGCTGTCTATACACTCCGTGATGGGTAGCAATGGGAGTGGTGTCAAGTCAGTTCCTAGGTTAATGAATTGTTTTCTTAGATATTAAACCCAGTACTTGTAAATGGTCACAAAACTTGGTATAGAAAACATTAGAAGCTTTTCATATTAAGATGTATTTACTATACTGTCCTTTTATTCCTTAGGAGTGTTTAGAATGAACAACTACTCTCTCAAGATGTGATTCCTGAGGGCTGGACTGGCAGTGAAGGATGTTTTCAGGAAGTCACATTCAAGGAGGGTTGCCCACTGGCCCTGCTTCTTGGATATGCATTTCTTTTTTTGTTGTTAATCCTTATCTGATGATATTTTTTCCATTGATATTTATTTATTTATTAAATATATATTTTTTTGATTTCAGAGAGGGAAAGAGAGCTAGAAACATCAGTGGTGAGAGAGAACCATTCATCGGCTGCTCTCTGCACACCCCACACTGGGGATTGAGCCTGTCAGCTGGGCATGTACCCTGACTGGGAATTGAACCGTGACCTCTTGGTTCTACCATTGAGCCACGCTGGCTGGGCTTTTTCTATTGATTTTTAGAGAAGAGTGGAACAGAGGGAGGGGGAGAGAGAGAGAAACATCCATGTGAGAGAGACACATCAATTGGTTGCTTCCTGCACACACCCTGGCAGGGCCTGGGATGGAACCTGCAACCCAGATATGTGCTCATGACTGGGAATTGAACCTGCGACCCTTCGGTGCTCGGGCAGACACTCTAACCACTGGGTCACAGTGGCCAGGGCTTGGATATACATTTCTCATCCGAGTCCCTGGAGCCATCCATTTGGGTCTGATTTTTTATCTACTACACTAGAGGCCCGGTGCATGAAATTTGTACACTTGTGTGTGTGTGTGTGTGTGTGGGGGGGGGTGTCCCTCAGCCTGGATTGCAAGAGGGCACAGGCCAGGCTGAGGGACCCCACTGGTGCATGATAGGAGCCGGGGAGGCATGTGGGAGGTTGGCCAGCTGGGGAGGGACCGTGGGAGGGCTCCAGGGCATGTCTGGCCTGTCTCACTCAGTCCGTTTGGCCAGACCCCAGCAGCAAGCTAACCTACCAATTGGAGTACTTGCCCCCTGGTGGTCAGTGTACATCATAGCGAGCGGTTGAGCGGCCTTAGCATATCATTAGCATATTATGCTTTGATTGGTTGAATGGCAGACTGG